AAGCCAAGTAAAAGGGTACTTTTGGGGGGAAACTGGTGTACATCTGTACATAAAATTTGACAGCATTACTCTTTTATCTAAAAGGATATGATTTACACTGATAATACCCTTCTGGCTCTCAGCAGACAATTTTGATAGCAAAGAACAGGCAGGGCATCCTATACATAGCACAAAGTTAATGCCATTTCGGCTTTCAGAAGAGATGTTGTTCTTTTAAACTGAGTTTGTCTTAAAGTGATTTGTAGTAATGATTTTTCATCTCCTTTTGAAAGAAATGAGAGATAACCTGTGCTTGTTTAGATTCAAATACTTGTAAATTGTATTTGCTTATCTTCTTCAATCTTCAATCATATTGATTTTAATATTGAGTTTGGTGGTGGTGCTTATTTTACCTGACTGATAAGAAAGCACAAATGCTTGAAAGTAAGCAACCAGACGGCCGACGGCTTTAGGTCCTCTCTGAGGGACCTGGTAATGAGGATTAATGCCTTACCAAAGGGCACTAGCGCATCGCCTTGGTTTCGAACCCGGGTCACCGGATTACGAGACCACTGCTCTACCGACTGAGCTATCGCGCCTCCTCAAAGTTGAGCAATTATGAATGTACATCCAGATAAAAATAGTGAAACAATGCGGAACTTGTTCTTTATCACTCCTGATTGCACACAGTTCTTGGAGGGTATGCAACCCCAATACAATCCATACGTACCCTCTATGCTTTATGGGCAATTAGCCTAATTACTTTATGCAGCAGAATTACTTCAAGGACATTTACTGCATCTATCAGCTTCAAAATGCTGGAATGATGTATCACTTAGAACTAGCGCGTCTTCATCAGTCATTACTTTCAGAAAGGCTTTAGAAACAAATTTTCTTCTTGAAGTTGGTAAATTGTAAGATTTTTGTTATTACGTGTGTTTATGTAATTGTCATTTACTGTTGCGCTTTGGGCCTCATGGGAAAATTGCGGTATAAGTATTAGTTATGATAATAATAATAAAAGCTCATTAAACTACTAATTCTCTTAAATCTGTTGTGTGCCAGAAGAGTGTGAAATGTTATGTAAAATAAGTTTACTTCATGTAGGCCTACATAATAATAATATTGGATATTTATATAGCACACATATCCACCCTGTACATCTTGTGTGTTATGGATTTAATTGATATGAAGTTTAATCCTCTATCCGTTTTTATCTACTGAAATTAATTAAAGGTAAAGACCAGTTATGGTCATGCGATTGCATTGTGAAAGAAACGTTGTGGAATCGATCAGAAAAGGTTAATCATCTAGCATCTAGCATCTGCAAGGTTCTGGAATCATCAAAATGATAAGAAATTTGGCCCATTCTTTGTAAAGTTACAAGCACTATACACGGAAAGATGTATATGGGACTACCCTATATCTCTCACAGACCATGAGAGAAACAAATTTACCAAATATATGAATTAGTAGGCGGTTTCCCGGCAAATTTTTTATCATCATGTATTAGTCAAAACATATTCTTTCACATGATTGGTAATGAGAGCTTCCATTTCATTTTTTGAAATTGGGGCATTTCCAATACTGGTCTTTACCTTTAATAAATTAGAATTAAACGGTAATCGTTATTAATGATAGTTATGCCTGATTCTGAGTTGATTTTTTTCATATCAAGAGGCTTCCTGGGCGGAATGTGTATTCTCTACAAAATGTCTAGCATATCTACTGTATATTTAAACAAATTAGATTATACACTGTGAATGTACATTGTTTTGACTGTCATACAAGGGATCACTTTGTTTTGGAAGTGGATCCTCTCCAAATTTTAGAGATATGCCCTCCAATCAAGTAGTTGGAATTGATCTTTTGAGAGTGGAATTCTTTATTTTTGATGAATATATTTCAATTTAAAACAAAACGCTTCCATATTGGTATTTCACTATTGTACAGTCAGAGACTGGCCAGAAAAGCAGAAAACAGCCTCCAAAATTCTCAAATAAAGACAGATACTATGCATAATATTTGTTTTCTTCAGATTCAATATGTGATATAAGGATCGTAAAATGCAAGGGTATTGCTATTTATATGTATACTGTGCAATTTTATGGGTTTAGTATATTATGCTGGTCAGGTGGATGTTGTTGACAATGGCATGATAAAAACTCTTTATATTGCATACATGTACCAGTATACAATTTTATGGATTTATTTTTCATGATGGTCAGGTTTATATTTGGAAGGGATTTATGAAAACTTATCTACTGAAATGATGAGCAGAGTCTCCTAATGATGATGAATTAAAAAATGAAGGAAAATCATATACTTCTGACTTTTGTACATCCCCTACAACATGTAATATGATTAATTACCTGTCATTTTTGTATGAATTTCTGTTCTTATTTTGTTCCTGTGCATTATCTCATTGAGTTCAATTACAAATGGATTACATTTTCAATAAGTTTCATTTTTATTTTATATGTAACTATATATGATAACATTGCTCAATAAACCCATATCTGCAACATACATTGTACTCTTATACTAAAGATATTATTTCACATCACATAGAATGTACTCTTTGCCAGTCTACACAAAATTGAGAATGCCAGATTCTGTATGAATAAGTCATAACCCATTTCTGAATGTCAAGCTAGTATTATCTCCTTCTTTACTCTTCTGATTGGAATGGATGGGCATAGAAGTCAAGTATTTGCCATAAATTAGAGAACATGCCTCCTAATCCTCTGCCCACATCAAAGGCACTCTTCTTTCTATCTTCTTCTTATTCTATCTTTGATCCTTCTGTCTATCTCTTCTTCTTGATCATCTTATTTTTCTACTATTCCATTGGAAAGAGTCGTTGATTGGAAGTCAAGTCTTTGGATATAAATTATATGACATCTTTCTGCCAGGACTTTGAAGATTATTTTCATCTTTCTTCTCTTTGATCCTACAGTGTAACATCTGCCTGCATGCTATATACCTAAGAATTCTATTTTAGAGGGTCGGTGTCTGAAAGTAAAATTTTGGCTGGAAGATGGAGAGAATAATTCTGTTTTGCAGATTCTCAGAAACATTTTCATCTTTGATCTGCCAGTATGCATGTCTCTTCTCTTTAATCATATACATTTTTTCCTGCTATTCCATTAGAAAGGGTCAGAAGTTGGAAATTGGACATAAATCACAAAACATTCTTCTGCTAGGAACATGATAATCATATCCATCTTGTTTTGTCTATCGATCCTCTTTGATCATAACAACTGTCTGCTGTATTGGAATTCAGTCGAAAAGGATTGGTGTCTCAAAGCTCAATTTTGGGCACAAATTACAGAAAAATTGAGGATTGTTTTTATATTTGATTGTTCTCCTTGATTCTAACATTTATTTTTGCTCAACAAGGATTTAATTGGAAAAAGTCTGTATCTGAGGTTAATATTTTTGAATAATAATTAATAATGATGATAATAATAATTTATATTGTTTATGGTATTAAGCACTTTTAAGAAATACTTCAAAGTGCTGTACTATGAGGAAAATATGAAGAAAAAAAATTAACAGAAACTCCATCAACAATTTATTACATAATAGCTTGGACATACATGTAGATACCAATATGGTACTATACCAAAGATAACAGGGATACTTATAAAGCTTAGAATTTCAGTCACAAAGACTCTCACTAAATGATCTGTATGTGAGCGGCCCTGCAATAGATGATGACAACCTACCTCACCTCCGCCAATATAAGTCGATCGTTTCAAAGTGAACCTAATGAATCAGGAATCTGTCCCGGAAGTTTTCCAATTTGGACAATGGAAGCGCAGATGATGTCTGTGAGCCATGTGTCACAGCAGCTGCAGGTTGTAGATGATCCCCGAAGAGAAGATGACCCCCGAAGAGCACTGTCTTCATTAAGCATTCATGAATGTCATAATTGTTTTGTGTCTATTTCCCATCCTTCTTCTGATACATACATGTATACATACAGAGTGAGCGATGGCTCAGTGGTAGAGCAGTGGTCTTTTAACAGGGAGGGTTACAAACCGAATTGATGTGCATGCCCTTTAGTAAGTCCCTTAGAGAGGACTTATAAAGCTGTTGATCACCTGGTTGCTTACTTACAAGCATACATATGCTTTCTTGGCAGTCAGGTATTAAAACAAACAAACCAACCATCATGTGTATAACCCTTTGTATTTGCATGTACTGATGGGGATGTAATCATTTCTATATTTTTCAAAGTCATATACATGTACATGTCGTTCCAAACATGTAATTGGTTGTGGGTATAATAATAATAATAATAATGGGTTCTTGTATAGCGCTCATGTCAGTCAGATTTGACCCTCCTGGCGCTCCCGATTATTACCCTGGATTTAGCACGGCTGCCATATACGGCGCTCTAGCATTTCAAGGAATAAATTCCTACCAGGTACCCATTGAATAATTCCAGCATTCAGAAGTTGTTTGTCTTTTATGTCTTTCAACTATTTTCATCCTCTGGACCCTGCCACAAATGATCATCTTATTTTGCTGTTTTATGACTTCTGTGTTTGAATCATTTCATAATATTCATTGAGGATGCATTTCGTTCAATTCTGTTTGTTCTATTTGGAATATTGTTTCTAACTTCTTCTAAACATGTAATATCATGGTAAATAATAGCTGCATTGTCATTATGGAATGTGATTTTCGTGATTCTTGAGATTTACATCTTTAACATTAATAATTCATAACACCATAGTCATTTTTAAAAGTTCATCCATGGGATTATAATACAGTTATATCATCTTTATATTTACTTAATATACAAAGCCATTGTATCCTTAAAAATTGTTGTCTTCTCTACTTTTGTAATTCGGCATGTATTTGAGAAACTGTTTCATGAGGGTGATTGGTTGTTTCTAACAACATTTTGGCATCATTTTGATTCTTTCTAATACTCAATAACATTTTGTCGCACAACATTTCAAGAGCCTCAATCTCTAAGGGTATATTTGTTTCATTCATTCACCTTTCCCCATTGATGACGTGACTAACCAGTAGTCACAACTACCCCCGCCACGACGACAGCCCCCACGACAACACCATTGACAGAAGCAACGACGACGACGAGGAAAACGACCTCAGGCACGACCTCCAGCGTTGTCCACTCAGACATCGACCAACAAGTTGCAGAGTCCACCTCAGGTATGCAATTCTTGGATGAAAGTCAGCTCAGGATTTCATACCCATATTGCGCACTCTTAATGTTTTGATGTACTGTAGATCATGGTCATGCATGTTTGGAATCGTATGGGTTTTAATTGTTTCATTTTCTTTCAAATTCATGTTGTTACATCACTGATCAGTCTGTATACATTTAATTATGTTTTGTCATGTGTATGTTCATTATGCAACTTGTTTCCATGTGTGTTATAATTTTGTTAGTCAAAATTATTGTCATATTTTTAATTTTATGTTTTATATTGTTTGTTGAGAGTAAGAAATGTATTGAGCCTGTAAAAAAGGCGATGAGCTATTCCTTCTGGCGCTCAGCCGGTAATTGGGGTGGAGTTTGTTGGGGAAACAAGCATTCAAAACAATGTACATGTTATGTTTTAAACTTGTAAGGGACTCTGAAGTATTGATATATATTGATATTGTCCGGGGGGGGGGGGGGGGGATTACAAATAATTGAGGTAGAATATTCTAACACAAGGATTTAACATAATTTCTTTTTTTTATCTGGTCATGTGCATTGTATAATTTTCATGGTTGTTGGATAGAGCCTGAGTCTGGACACATGCACACCTCATTATCTTGAAATTAGGCATGGTAAAAAGGGGTATTATTTATTATTTTGATAACTTCCCACTTCCAAGGGATCCCTACATCTTGCATCTTACATCAGACATGTTTGAAATCTTCTCATATTCTCATTTGATATGGACAATATTATTTCATCACTAAATAATTTCAATTCTAATAAAAAGCCATACATTATTATTTCCTAAATGTTTCCATAAAGCGGTATGGAACTTTGAGTCATGAATGCATTGTGTGATGATCTTGTGTGATGACCTTGAAAAAAAATTTGTCCTGTCCAGAGTAAACTATCTTAGCCATACATGTAAGTTGAAAAGTGCGCTTGCGAGGATGACCTTGAAAAAAAAAGAATAACATTATTCAGCAGTACTTAGTATGCTGAAACACTCCTACATGATGTGTAGCACAGATGTTCAAGAGAGTAGAAAGTTTACAGTCATACATGTAGAATTTATTGTTGGGTAACTTCTGTAAGGTTTTGTTTGTAAAATGTTTCAATTTTATGTTTGCCTTGATTTGATAGTTACTATTGTTTGTGTATTGGTAGCCTACCATATAATTTGCCTATTTGTTAACACTAGTAAAAAATAAAATCATAATATATTGTGTTTTTTAAACTGCATGGTGTGTGGGCTTGTGATGTGTCAGCAAATGAGGAAAGTGATGTACTCTCCATTTTCTGTTATAATATGCATTTCATACAACTTTTCTTGTTGTGCAGCTTAGTAGTCATTGATGTCCACATTGTTGGCAAGATCACCCTTTTAAAGCCCCACTGTCCTACATGTAGCTACTTGCTCCCTCTATATAGAAAATTTCCCCAATCGGTGCCTATTGGTCCCCCATGATCCTCTTTTTCTTATGTTAGTTGAAAGCTGAGTTAATAGGCCCGTCTTCACTATCTCGAGATTGCCAAATATCCAGCTATTTGAACTATCCCGATCGCAAACTATCCAGCCAATTTGCGTCTTCATTAGAACGAAGTAGCAAATCAGCTGGATAGTTGGTCGGGATAATATCCCAAGATATCTCGGTCTAGTTTGCAAAATATCCCACTATTTCCGAACTAGCGGGATAGTTTGCGACCGTCTTCATTAGACCGAAGTACGGAGTCAAATATCCCGATCCCATCATGCACCGCTGAGCGGTATAGATCGCATGTGTGCGCGCTATTACAACTAGTTAACACGGAAAACCGGAAATCGGTGTGCATGATGGGATCGGGATAGCCTAATGAGATAGCCACCTGTCAGTGACCTCGCTGTGTGGTCTAATCCCTTCTGACCCAGTAGTGTTGATGGTATTTAGGCAGAAGTTTTTTATTTCAGTAATATTGTCTGTTGAGAGCCAAAAGGGCATTCAAAGTGTGTAAAAGTATACTTGGGTCCAATATCCTTTTGGCTCTAACAGTCTATAGCAGCTTGCGATCGGCACTGTATTTGTGCTAATACTTTTTAGCTTTGGTATGATTTGTGGCAGGTGTTAAGAAGTGCCTATTTCTTGGGTAGTCAGGGATTCCTTAGTTTCGTATTGTACATCCACAGATGATATTCCTGCACTTAATTTGCCCTATAGTTTACCTGGGCCCCATCTTGCAAAGAGTTACGATTGACCCAAATCAATCGTAAGTCCTCCAACCAATCGCAAGTTTGCAGTCTCCTATCTCTTATGTACATAGTTGTGATTGATATTATCAACTCTTTGTAAGACGGGGCCCAGATGTACCATGTTATCTGTTTTATGTACTTGTGGAGAAAGGACTTTTTTAACCCGCTGACTACTGATTTGTTGCTATCCCATAGGTTTAGTATTGGAACTACCTGGTTCCTGAAGCCAATGGGTTGATATGTGATATTGGGAATGAGCTCAGAGGTGTCTTTTGGCACTCAAATATATATTCTCAGCCATGTCCGCTGGAGACAACAATTATCTGAACCATTTATCTTTAAACTTTGTTTAAGTCAGCCTTTGCATTTTGAATATACCAAGACAAAGTTGATACAGAGATCACAAAATATGGAAGCGGATATAAAGAGGGAGAGAGAGGGTGTTAACAAAAAAAAAGAATAAATGTAAAAAGGAGAAAGAAAGGGGGACAATGAGAAATTAAGTATTTAAAAGCAATCTCATGTGAACCAGGAAAGTGCATGTGAGACAGGAGAGAGATTTGGTGATAAAAAATGATAGTGATCTGCAGGAGGAGAGAGGAGATATGCTGATTGGAAACCTTTCAAAATTGAGCTTGCCATTTATATCATTTTGCCTTTTCTGTTTGAAGCAGATATAAATCAACCACTGCATGCATGTTCAGGGTACTAAGTGTATGCTTTTAGCTAGAGTTCACTGTGCTACCATTTTTCTTTATTTTCATTTTGCCCAGATATCCTTTGTAGAAGTTGGTTTTGTGTTTTCCAACTGTGCATACATTCACTGCATTGTTCTAGCTAGAGTTCACTGTGCTACAGATTTTTTATTATTTACATTTTGCTCAGACATCCTCTGCAGAATTTGGTTTTGTGTTTTCCAGCCGTACATGAATTCGCTGCATTTGACATTTCATTTTATTTAGTGAACATTGTCTGTCTAGACCCAGAAGGATATTTAATCTGTGTTTCATGAGTTAACATTCTCCAACCCCTCAGCAGACAATATCATCTCTTTTCAGCCAGAAGGGAGTTCATAACTATATAAAATTATATGAGTTGATCGTCTGGTTGGTTCGGAGCCAGAAGGGCGTTATTTCATTATGCTTCAACTCGAGGCTAAATGCACTTCTGGCTCTGAACTACCTAGTCTGAACAGATGTAATATCCTTCTGGCTCCAAACAGGTAATATGTATCCTCTTGAACAAGGACTTGCCCCTATTATATTACTTTAATAAAGTTCTGCTTTCACTGTGGGGAGGATATATACACGTGTCTGCATTCACCCGATACTAAGTTCACATCTTAATGAGAAAGCAGTCCCATGCATTAAGATTGGTGTTAAGTAGAGGCTTTGATAATGCAGATGGAATTTCAGTCAGCTATGCTTGGGGGATTCCTCAAGGCAGCTGCTACTTGAGCCCGACCATGTGTCCTGATATTAAAGCTCTTATACTGCCATTAATTAAACATTCTTATCTTACAGTCATGAAGTAGATGCACATGCACAACAGGCAGTTAATAATAGGGGGTGGGTATCGATAGGACCGTTCTGGGATAGGCTGTGCTTTTTCAACGATGGTCCTCTAATGGAAGCTTTTTTTAATTTCTCGATATTACTCCTGTGATGTGTGTATGTATTGTACATGTATGCACAATATGCTTATAAACATGAAAACAGCATATCAAGTATTGCATGAGGAGGAGGGGGGGGGGGGGGGGGGGGGAGGGGAGGAGACTCAAACATGTGCTCAAGTCAAAACACTTACTTCATGTCAGTTTGCATCTTCTCGTTCTATACAATTACAAGTATACCTCTACATAGGATCTGATTTACAGCAAAATATTTTTTTTTTTTTTTTTTTTTTTTTTTTTTTTGGGGGGGGGGGGGGGTCTGTTTGTGTGTTTGTATGTTTTGGGAGGAGGGGATAAATAAGGTTCCAAGAGATGAACAAAAGGGGGGAGAAAGGTAAGGGGGAGGGGAGAGAGCAAAAGAGAGAGAGAGAGGGAGAGAGAGAGAGATAGGGAGAGAGAGAGAGAGAGAAAGAAAGAGAGAGAGGGAGAGAGAGAGTAGTCGAAAGTGGCAGATAATTGAAAATGACTGAAAGATATTGATGTACGTAGCATTAAACAAAGTTCACTGCAGTTTATTTATTCACTGATATCGTGAATGCTGTAAGATGGTTCATGAAAGTTCACGTATAAGCCAACACAAATACAGCAGCTGCTTTTCTCGTCATCATGTGCTATGTTATTAAAGGTGTGCATCCATTCATTAATAATGAATACCTCCTATCAATACTTAACAAGGGTATGAAAATTCCATGAGGTGTCCAATTTGGCTAGCTCAATATTGGATGTCCTCAAATATTAATCCTTTCTCAATGTACAACGCAGTTAATAGGTCATTGTAAGTGCACTTAAATTATTAACCTTAATTAGTCAGGGAAAAGTTGTGTTACCTGTGATCAGAGTCTGGTTTAATGTCTTTGCCGACAGTACACCTTACGATAAAGATGCATGAACATTATTTACAACGCAGTTAATAGGTCATTGTATTAAAGTGCACTTTAATCATTAACCTTAATTAGTCAGGGAAGAGTTGTGTTGCAGGTGATCAGAGACTGGTTTAATGCCTTTGCCAACACCTAACAGTTCAACTTGTGATAAAGGTGCATGAACATTATTGATTTATTATATTTTCTCTGGGAATGACAGCCTAATAAACAATTTATGGATGGGTTTTGTCAAGAGGGTTGGAGTTCATAATCCATTCATGACTCTGTCAATGGACGAAAACTTTGATTTGCACGATGTAGACATTTTAAAGTGTACTGATCCTTTCACCTAGAAATGTTTAGCTAAATGTATGTTAGAGGTTCCATGTTGCTACACTACATGAATATTCAATATTTAAGCTTCAAATGTTACTTTCATAGAGAGATATTGCAAGTTTGAATCCTCTTTCAATTAAAGTCGTGATTAGACTTCTTTACGCACCTGTACTGGTTTGCATAAAAAAAGGCCTGTAAGGAACCCAAGTCTGAAATAGGTTCTGTGTGCAGGGTTTTATATTATTTTTTCTTTTCTTCATACTCATTATCCGTTAGCACAAAAGATGTCAGATATATTTTTGAGGTTGATCCTCTACGTTCTGGCTATACACAAATTATTTTATGATGTGATTGGTACACTTTAAAACATGCTGGGGGTGTTTCACAAAGTTGAACGTATCTCTATGAAGTTGAACTTATCTCTATGAAGTTGAACTTATCTCTATAAAGTTGAACTTATCTCTATAAAGTTGAACTTATCTCTATAAAGTTGAACTTAACAATTATGGAAAGCCATTAGCATCTTTGTAAATTTAAAAGGCATTAAATGTTGATTCGAAGCATTCATATTATCAATTATCAAGGATATTTCATGTTCTTGATGTGGAATTTACGAAAAGTCTAAAATACTTGCATTTTGGCATTTGAATATATGTTATTTTATGGCTACAAATGGCTCTCAATAAGTCCAACTTAGAGTTAAGTTTGACTTAGGATCTTTGTGAAACACCCCCCTGGTAACCTTTTCCCTCTAAGACACTGGGCGAGGAAGACTGGCTACGCATTATAGATTCCATCAATAAGTAGTACACTGCATGAAGGAGGAAATTGAATCAATTAGCAAACTGCTGGAGAAGGGCAGGGGTGTAGACAGATGCTGAAGGACGGCCGAGACACGTCCACTTTCCTTAAGAAGACATTTAAAGCTATGTCAGAATTAAAATTAAAGGGAATTCATGAGGTTACTTTGCCACAGTGACATTAATGCATCCTCCTTTTTTATTATTTTTCCATAAGTTTTGTTATAGAAAATAATAATGCACCATTCCCCCCCCCCCCCCCCCCCCGAACAAAAAAACAAAAAATAATTCAATAAATAAAATAACATACAAAATAAGATATCTTTTCTTCATGTCCCTCTTCCTTTTTTTTTCTCTCTCTCTCTCTCTCTCTCTTTTATTTCCTTTCCTTGAGCACCCTTCCCTGAGCAGACTTCATGGGATTATTCACCCACCGATATATCAAGTTCTGCACAGTAAAAGTGAGGAGGCTCATTTTTAAATAAAAGCTCTCTTTTGTATCTTTCCACTTTTGTTTTACCCCCTCTCCAACTCCTTTGCTCCCCTCTCTATCTCTCCATCCCTATACCTTCCTTTGTCTCAACCCTTCCCTCCACCTTCTCCTCTCCCCATTCCTTCTTCCTGCCTCTCTGTCCCCCCCCCCCTCTCTCTCTCTCTCTCTCTCTCTCTCTGTTTCTCTCTGTTTCTCTCTCTCTCTCTCTCTCTCTCTCTCTCTCTCTCTATCTCTCTCTTCCATCCTTTCTTGGTAGACATTGTGTAATTTTTCAAAGTTTTCAAAAGCTCTTAGGAAAAGCTTTCATTTTCCACCATCATATTTCATTTCTGAAGCTCCCAAGAGACTAATCTACAGGGACATATGTTTCTCACTTATCCTGTCGAGAGCCAGTAGGTTGCTAACCCATATACTTTTCAGTAGAGTAACCCCCTTCTGGCTCTAAACAGACAATTTATTCATAAACATGTACATTTAACTAGTGAACACTATTTGAGATTTACATTAATTTAGTAAAATATGGCTATTGCAGAGCGCAGAGGATATCCACGCAAGAGCAGCACTCTCCTTGTTGGTAAATGAGGCGTTCCTAATATGCGAAAGAGGTTCTTCAGCACAAGCCATCACACCCCGCTTTTATGTCCGCCGCTTTGCGTGCTTGTCTTAAATCAGCTATATGAAAATCACATTCCATATCCCCTGTGAAAATAAGACATGCATGAGCACTTCCCCTCATTATATATTCAGCTGTGTGCTTTGAGTCATTGCTTTGATATCATTATTAATCTTCTCTTCTTGATATTATGTCACTTGAGTATATAGGGTGGTAAACAAGTTGCACTATAGATGAAAGGATTTGTTTGTTTTTACATAATGTCTCTTTTTTTGTTTATATTCTATAGCTGTCTACTGCTGATATGAACTTCTTATATCATGTTGTTCTCTCTCTCTCTTTCTCTCTCTCTCTCACTCTTTCTCTCTTGTTCTCTCTCCCCATCTCTCTCTTTCTTTCTTTCTTTCTCTCTCATTCTCTATCTCTCTCTCTTTCTCTCTTTCTCTCTTGTTCTCTCACTCTTTCTCTCACTCTTTCTCTCACTCTTTCTCTCGCTCTTTCTCTCTTGTTCTCTCTCTCTCTATCTCTTTCTTTCTTTCTCTCTCTCTCATTCTCTATCTCTCTCTCTCTCTCTCTCCCTCTCTCTCTCTCTCTCTCTTTCTCTCTCTCCCTCTTTCTCACTCTGTTTCTCTCACACTCTTTCTCTCCCTCTAACTATCTTGTAATAAAAAGAAGATTGCATATTAAATATCATCTTGAGTTCTTGTGCTGATGGAAAATGACATTTTACAGATTCTCTCCGAACTGATATGGAATGTTCAAAACTATATGATATATAATATCCGCCAGACATTTTTTTTTTTTATAAATGTTGTTTTTGTAGCTAAATGATGAGCAAATTAAATGATGAGCAAAAATCAATTAAATGGGGTACCAGGTACTTGACTGTGATTTTCCAGCTATTTTACGTTGGTTTGTGTGAGTGTTATATTCTGCTGCCGTCAAATACAAGCTAAACTCCATGTTGAGCGATACAGAATTACTGTAAGCCGCTTTCCCTTCATGAGGCGGACATACATGTATATGATATGCCTATTGTATGCATAATGTGCATTTAGAATAAAAATCAAGCTACTACTAGTGGGTAACTTGAGCAAAGTGAACCTCTTCACAAAATCCGATCTTACAGGAGAATATACAGCCTGCAGGCAGTGAATAAACAAGATTTGGACTCTGAGGGGGTAGTGATACCCCCCCCCCCCCTCCCCACCCCATCCACCACCCCTCACCCCTCCCTCCCCACCCATATCATGAGTTTGATTCTTTCCAGGCAATGCATACACATACACTCAGTTTTTATTGATTGAGATTTGACAACATTTTGATTTTTAAAGTGATGTTCTGAATATAATCTTTACTAGAAAACATTCTCAATCTTACTCTCTCCTTGAATATCTGCAACTCAAGGAAGGTGATAGATATTCAACTTGTGTGTGGGATGTCAATAGAGTGTTGCTATCCAAATGCAAACAGAAGCAAAGTGTGTTTACCATTATTTTTTTGTTTTTTTGTTTTGCAGTAACGACAACACCAGGAAGGGAACCTTCAATAAACACAGTTAAACCAACAAAATCAGGTAAATATGATTTCCTTTTTTTCCCTTCTCTTCATACATGTCAAACTTTGAATTCAAACAGTAGCTTTTATATAAAATGTCAGGTGAGAGTCAAGAATCGCTTTAGCTCATATCATTTTGCATCAAATATTCCAAACATTGCTTTTTTAGGATGAGACTTTGGATGACTTTTCTTTTGTCTTTTATTTCCTTCTTAATAACTCAGAACTCATCAGATAGTCCAATAAATCTGTTTAACCTCTAAAAATATCTGCTCTCTGATTTCTTCGGATGAATGCAGGGAATTTTTTCTCAAGAAATCAACCTTAGATATCAATTTCGGTATACTTCTGAATCATATGTGGTAGTACACAATAATATATTACATAATCTGCATTTACAATGTATATAATCCATAAGAAGATGTAATATATTGAAATTGCCCTTTGTTGAGTTCTTGAAAGTCTTAACAATCTTGTTGATGGGTGAGTACTTGTAAAATACAGATAAAACATGTTTTAATCTATCACATATTAAATGTGTGCCCATTGATTATTATTATTATTTGCATGTGCCTGGATGCCTCTATCAAAATACTTGTACCAGCTCTTCTGCTTTCAAAATGCAGATCGCTCTGGCACAATGAATGTGATCCACAAATATTGAATTACATGTTTACAAATGCAATAGCAGTAGTGTTACCTGATAGACACTTACATGCTCAGAGCTTCAACGAGGTTTGCATGCAATACACATCAATACCAGCATCACTTTTGAGGCCTGTCTTCATCAGACCGAAGTTGCGAAATATCCCGCTATTTTAACTAGCTCGATCTCAAATTAGCCAGCTAATTTGCGTTTTCATCAGCCCGCAGTTGCAATTAGCAGGCTATAGTTTGTGATGAGCGTATCAGTCTGGTGAAGACCCAATTCAGAGCTTCTGTAAAAATATCCCGAGTCTGAAAATTGCAGGTTATTTTGCAACTCCGGTCTGATGAAATAAGGCCTCATGGTGCCAGATTTTTTTAGGGGTTTTACACGGTTTTAGACATCCTGTCTCAGAGTTTGAGGGGAATTTTTATTGAAAAGTACCTAAGGCCGCTTAGTGAAATAAAATGGCACAAAAAGTAGGATCGGAACGAAAAAGACGTTATAATTTGTGATGTTTGTGAATGAATTGTCATTTTACACATCCAAATGAAGATTAGGTAACATTAAGCTCAGTACACCCCTATACAAATTTCAGTACGCTTACACGCGAGCTCTTCAGCGTGCTCGCCAACGAGTTCGTTGACGAGCAAGCAGACGAACTCGCCAGCGAGCTCGTTTCGTTCCAAATATGCAAATTAGCTACGAACTCGTTGGCGTGCTCGTTGGCGAGCTCGTTGGCGTGCTCGAAATATACACGCTCGTCACTGGCCGATAAGCTCGTTGGCGAGCTCGTCTGCGAGTTCGTCGGCGAGTTCGTCAATGAGTTCGTCAACGAGCTCGTCGGCGAGTTCGTCAACGAGCTCGTCGGCGAGTTCGTCGACAATTTCGTGGAAAAAATGGCTGCACGCTTTATAATGGCGTGCTTAACAGCAGGTTGGCATTGAGAACAAATTTGTGTCTACATATAGAGGTGAACTTGATGATCCTGTTGAGCTATTGGCAAGCATATATATATATATATATATTAATCTAACTTATCAACCTTTCAATATCCTGGTAACATCTGCAGGCTGGCCATGCAGGGACAATTCAGTTGGCTAGCTGGTGAAGAATACAGTGATACTCTAAGGGCAATTTAAAAGCTCATTACTTCTGGGATATCAATCAATTAAATTACTAATATATCAAAGAACAGAAAGAAAAGATATAACATAACATGTAACTTAAAACAAGTAGCTCTTTATTAGAGTCAATACAAACACTGTTTAATGCATGTTACCTGTATGCAGGGTTCACAACTTCACACAACAATATAAATGAATAAATGATTTCCAAATTATATAATTACACTGTATAATAAAATTAAATATGTGAGTAATTAAACTGTATAATACTCTGCCTTTGAAGAAATTTATTATCCATTTTGGTAATAATTCCATCATTCTAATCGCTCATAATATTACAAAGATCCAAACTAATAAAGCGGTATTCATACAATAACTATGTAGCATCCCCCCTTTTTGTCAGTGTATTCACCAACCCAGGGTACCAAGTAATGATACATGTACACTATAGGATCTCTAGAACAATCCCTTCTTTATATCCGCTAGCAAACTAGTTTTCAGTATTCAGACCAAATGCATTCTTGTGCTCTCATGTTGCCTAAAAGGTAGGGTTTGTCATTCAAGATACAGAAATGTTTACATGAATATAACCTTATCACATAGATATCTAATGTTACTTTATTGAAGTGAATATACTATGTGCTAGATAGATAAACAAAATTCCCAATATATGAAAAGATATCTCACTAGAAAGAGAATGAATACATTATCTCATTAATCATTACTCTACACTTCTCTTTCATAAATGTATAAGAGAGGTAGGCCTAACTGTTGGCCTAGTCTTATTATAAATACACAATAGAACATTTAGTTAAAAGGTGTGAGAAATTAGTTTTTCTCTTACCTAAAACAAAGGAGCTGCAATACCATTCAAAACCCATGTCTGCTCTCCACAACAGCAAGATAGAAAAAGACTTGACCAAATGGGCCTAAATCAATTCATTCTTATCAGGAATGCTACCAGTGGTAATTCCACAAGAGAGAGTACACAAGAAAGTGAGAGAGGGGAGAAGAGAGGAATAGGGATTTGTGTCTAAGCAGGGGGGATCCTATGTACATAAGGAGAGAGCAAGATAGAAACAGGGAGTTGACCTCGAATCAAGCACTGGGTGTGTGGTCTTATGTAATACCTGATAGTGACATTTCAGGGTGTTAAATATATGATACAGTCAGAATAAATGGCACCCCCCCCCTTCCCAATCTGGTATGCTGCAAATAAATGTTTCAAAGTTTCAAAAGAATTTAATTAAATTTACAAGAAATTTGACAGGTTACTTCAGCATGAAAAAGCTATTGTTTCAATTTCAACATACATTTTCTGAACTTTCAATGTAATTGCATATGTGTATTTTTATGATACTGGAGAGATTTCACCATGGATATTTCAGATCCAAGTATAAAAATAAAAGAGTATATTCTATGGTGATAATTTTGTCCATGTCTTAATGCAGATATGTAGTGGAGATAACTTAAATAACGTTGTGTTTCAAAACCCTGGGTTTAAATTTTTATGTAAGGTGAAACCCATTTTTTGCCCTTTTTAGGACGTACACCAAAACGTGACATGAAAAAACCTAGTTCCTGGTAATGAGTATTCTCTAAATTTGTATGACTATCTGATGTTCAATTATTGTCTGGTAGTAAGTGCTGAATCTATTTATGCTCATGTCATTAATAACCTTAGGTTGCGTGGCAAAGTTTTTTCATAATCACCATATTTCACATCTTGTAACAGTTGTTATGCATGGTGTCCACCATGCAACACGCGTTCCATTTGGTGCTTCTGCATGATGAATGCACATTATATGAACAACTTTGACCATTCCTAGTTTATTTCTTGGAAGAACTCCATGGATCAAATCAATTAAAAAAAGATGAAGCTTAAAATGTTATAGTTAAAAAAACAGCACATGTTTGAAATTCTAAAAATTCTTTGGTGTCCACCCATAACATGCGTTACCGTATATGAAAAATACAAAATACAATTTTGTTAAGAAAACTTCATTTATAATCGTTCTAATCTTTCACAAGAAAGGCTTTCTACATTGTGTATATAAAATTCATTGAATTGTTCAATTTTGAATCAAATAGATATTTTTAAAAAAATTATGAAACTTTGGTGTCCACCCTAGAGGGCTGGGTTTACCAGTTTAACCCTGAGTTCGCCACAAGCTCCCGAGTTTACCCCCGAGTTTAACACGAGCTCCCCAGTTTAACCCGAGCTCGCCACGAACTCCCCCTTTTACCCACGAGCTCGCCACGAGCTCCCCCTTTTACCCACGAGCTCGCCACGAGCTCCCCAGTTTACCCCCGAGCTCCCCAGTTTACGCCCGAGCTCGCCAAGAGCTCCCGATTTTACCAACGAGCTTGTCACGAACTCCCCCTTTTACCCACGAGCTCGCCACGAGCTCCCCCTTTTACCCACGAGCTCGCCACGAGCTCCCCCTTTTACCCACGAACTCGCCACGAGCTCCCCCTTTTACCAACGTGCTCGCCACGAGCTCGCCACGAGCTGCCCATTTTCCCCGCGAGTTCGCCACGAGCTCGTGACGAACTCGTTCACGAGCTCGTGAAGATTTTGTAAGATCGTTACTAGCGTCCTGGAAGCGTGTTACGAGCTTAAAGCCCAAAAAACGATCTTATTAAGCTTACCACGAACATAATACGAGTTCGCGACGAACTTAAATTTGTATAGGGGCATGTATGCATTTCCCAGCTCCACATTCTAACCATATGGTGTAATCACTGTGTGTAGTAAAATTATGGTTTTCAATGATAATGCATTTTGCGTTCCAGATGAATCTGTTTGTGCCCCTTCACGTCCTTTTATATCTGTGGTCATATATTTATTCTTTGGAAAAGGATATTTGAGAGAGAGGTAGAGAAAAAAAAAAAATTTCCTCATAAATATAGTTGTGGTCCATTATACCTCTGAGATGCTTATATTTAAAGTAACATACAAAACAGACATTTATCAATTTTGTATCGTATATTTAAGAATAAGAACCTGGGTTGCTTGCTGTGTTTATTTTCAAATCTGTCATATCTTTATCCAGCTATTTTCATTTAATTTTCATCCATAGTGTTTATGATAGATTGTGTTTGACAAGGCTGTTTTGATGACCTGAATAGTGTTCCTATCTGTGTATATCTCTCTAATTCCATTTAGAGCTCAACCTTTCTTTCTCTTTCTCTCTCTCTCTCTCTCTCTCTCTGTCTCTCTCTGTCTCTCTCTGTCACTGTCTCTGTCTCTGTCCTTCTCTTTCATGCTTTTACCTTGACTCTCAAATTTGTCTATGTCTTGACCCTTTTCCTGTTGGTCTAATTGACCCTCATCCTCTCTCTCTCTCTCATCTTGTCTCTTCTGTCATCCACTCATTTTCTGTCTCTGTCTCTGTCTCTCTGTCTGTCTGTCTCCCTCTCTCTCTCACACACACACAACACACATTCACACAATCTATCTCTCCCCCTCTCTCTCTCTTTCTCTCACACACACAACACCCACATTCTCTCTCTCTCTCTCTCTCTCTCCCTCTTTCTCTTTCTGTCGCTCACTGTCTCTCTGTCTCTCTCTCTCTCAGTCTCTCTCTCTCTATCTCTATCTCTCTCTACCTCTGTCTCTCTGTCTCTCTGCCTCTCTCCCTCTGTCTGCCTCCCTCCCCAATGCCTCTTTCTTCCACATCTCTATTCTCATTCTATTTTTTGTCTTCTCTCTACTCTCCTCTCCCCTCCCCTCTATTTCATGCCCACTATGTTTCTATTGCTGAGTGATTTACTGTGAATTCTCTAAGACATGTACAAGGGCATCAAACAAGTTACAGAAACCGGGAACTGGACTTGAAGTCATGGCCTAGATTATCAGCCTTTTCCTTCCTCTTTCATCTATGATTTTTTTAATTGTATTCTCCTGTTTTTGTTTTGATCAATCCCCAAACATATCTCTCAGTGTTTGCACGGCCTTGTCTAGCATTTTTTCTTCTGTCAAAGCATTATAATACAGCTCATAACTTTTCTTTCTCTGTCTATGACTTCCCTTGGACCTTGTGGCAGATTAGCCCTGTGCTAAACAAGTTATCCAATAAAGTCTACTACTACTATCTATCTTTTTCTGACCTTCTCAAACTCTCCACTTTTATCCTGTTTTTATTTAAAGGTAAAGACCAGTAATGGTCATGCGATTGCATTGTGAAAGAAACGTTGTGGAATCGATCAGAAAAGGTTGATCATCTAGCATCTAGCATCTGCAAGGTTCTGGAATCATCAAAATGATAAGAAATTTGGCCCATTCTTCGTAAAGTTACAAGCACTATACACAGAAAGATGTATATGGGACTACCCTATCTCTCTCACCAGACCATGAGAGAAATAAGTTTACCAAATATATGAATTAGTAGGCGGTTTCCCGGCAAATTTTTTATCATCATGTATTAGTCAAAACATATTCTTTCACATGATTGGTAATGAGAGCTTCCATTTCATTTTTTGAAATTGGGGCGTTGCCAATACTGGTCTTTACCTTTAACTATCCCTTCTCTGTATGGCAACCTCTTTTTGCCATCCTTTATCATCAACAGTGCTTTATCATACAGAAGTTTAGAACTGTATTTCTCCTTAGGTTCTACACTGAGATGTATTGCAGCTCTCATGTGTACATTTTGAATGTCATTCTCAAGTGGAACCAACATGTATGATTGCATTCTCACACTAAACCATCAATTGTATACTACATTTTGAATGCATACTCATGTTTTGTCTACATTCTTATTTTCAAATTTGTCATTTCAAGCCAGACTATTTAGATGTGCATTATTTTTATCTGGCAGTCAAATTTGTGATTACATTCATGCATTCAACCTTTTGAATACATTCACATGTTAATGCGATCACATCTTTTTTTTCTCTTTGTAGATCCGAAAATGCAGACAAGCAACAACACAACATTGTATATCATTGTAGGGTCTTGCACTGGAGTGGTTTTACTCGCTATCGTGGTTCTTGTATGTTACTGCTGCTGCTGCAAGGTAAGAGCGAAACAGTAACAACAATCTTCTTCCTTTGTGAACCAGGGGGGGGGGGGTGTTTCATAAAGATGTTTGTAAAGTTATGCATGACTTTTTGAATGACTTGTATATGAAGTGCCAAATAGGATGCCCAAACATTTTTCTGATATTTCCAATAACCTCAATTAAATTATAGTAAAAAATATACTCTGAGTTGAAAATGTTTGTTATGATAAGAATGTTAATCTACATCTGCACAGTTCAACTTTAGTTGATGCAATTAATAATGATTGAGCATCCCATTTTGCTTTTCACATACAAGTCGTTCGTAAAGTAGTGCGTAACTTTACGAACAGCTTTATGAAACACCCCCCATGGGCCATATGAGTTTTTCACTCAGTTTTCAGCTTAAGCAAATTACTTAGCCAACTTTTGTATTAATTTTAAGGTTTTTTAGCCTAAATTTAAGACAGCTCCATAGCAGACTTAATGTAATTAAGCCAATTATTGTTGAGGCTTTGATTGGTAGGCATGTAGTTTTCATTTCATTTTATCATAAGCTGGACACAAATTGTATAAGCATGCATTAAATATAAAGCCTTTATTGCCCATAACTTTGATAGCCAAATTGATTGTAAGGTTTGAATATGAACTGATGTATTCAGAATTCTTTGACTAAATAGGCTCTGGTAAAAAAAAACGAAAAACTAGCCACTGGATGATACTCTAGACATTTAAACAAGACTAACACTAGAATGACAACAAACAGAGTAAAACAATTTTTTTTTAAATGGCAAAAAATTGGTCGCTTGTTGAGTTGATTTTGAGTCAGTTATGTCGTGTGATTAGAATATAAACTGTCCCTCTAGTGCTTAATTGCTTATCATATCCCTAGCCAGAGATGGAGGTCCTATGAATCGTAAAGGAATGCATGCAAAATTCCTTCAAATTGTCAAATTCTTCCTGTCTCACCAAATTAGATGGCCATGCTTAAATATTAACTTATTACAAATTTGTTGTGTTATTATGTATGCATGATTGAATGTTAACTGTTGCACAGTATAAATGCCCCTAAATAATTAAAAAGCATGTGCATGCATGACGTGCCTAGCCTAAAGTATGACAGCACTTTATAGCATTGCATACACCAATCCAATGAGCAGTAATGATCTGTTTCATAATGCAAAATGATTCATACAACAAGATTTTTTGCAAATTTGGGAAAGTTTCTTGCCACAAAAACAGTCATATAAAAAAGTGTCTGGTTTTTGCAGTAAACAGATGTTGTAATTGTCTGATTCCCTCTTTGTAGCTTGTTTGGACATTTTCTTTTAGTATACCACTCAATTTAACCCCTTGGTTTTTGTCCCAGTTCTTGAATATACTGAATGTGTAATTGATTGTTACTATCACACTTACTTCCCCTCCCCTTTTTATAGCAAATTGCTTTATCAAAATATGGTTTGGTGTGATGTTTTAGAGGGAACCAAAAATTCACTATATTGAAAAAAGCAAGCATATGGGCAATTTGGTTCTGACCAGAATCCCCCTAACCAAAAATATGAACATATGCCTTATCAATCTCCTCGGCCTCCCTCTTTTGATTTAAACCCTGTATTCCCCCCTCTCAAATAAGGGTTGCGTTAGAAACTCAGGTTACCATTCTTGAAGTTCCAATATTTTGAAGGTGGTGCATGTGCATGATAAGCTTCTTGCATTTGTATTTTGTCAGTGCTAATATAATCCATTTGCCATCTGAGCAGAAATCATTGGGACTATAAGTCTAGATCTTCGGGATAGCATTCTTTTATTAACTTGTATCCTATAATAATAAATGCGTGGGGCTTAGCTTCTTGCTTTTGTACTTTGTTATTGCTAATGCTAATGTAATCCATTTACCACCTGAATAGATGCCTTTGCTAAGGTCAAGTTGGGTCAAAATGCAGTCAAAGGTCAACTACCACAATATAACGTTTTCTCCATTCTTGACAAAAAGAATGGAGGAAACCGTTGTTCAACTACTAGTATTCAAATTGTATTGGATGTTGTATCCATCCATAAAAAGAAAACTTCCTAGCAATACAAGTTCTGTGAGTTAAGGTAAGCGATTTCCATCCTTAGGGAATAGATTTGGTTGTGCTGTCAAAATGTCAGTTGAAATCCTACCCTTCCGATGAAAATCTTTGGCAGAATCGGAATGTGGCCTATTTCTTAGTCCGTTCCTTAGTGAGTTGTCTCAGTGCAATCAGTATCGATGTCATCTGTCTTGTAAAGGCAGGGTATTCTTCTGACACTACTTTTTGTATACTGCCATCTGCTGCTCACAATGACACAATGTGTCAACAGTCATGTCCCACAATGCCACACCAAAAATAAATAGCTTTATGTATGCCCTTACCGAAAGATGGCACAATTATAAATCCATTTAAGTGGTGGCGAATAGCGATGTTGGTAAAATGTCCTGCCTTTAATGACTTTTGGAACCACAGTCTTGCCCAGAAAGTTGGAGTGACTTTGTCCTACCTCTTTTCATGAATTGGTTGTGACAATATGGTTTATTCTTGAAAGATTAAGTGTATATCTTCTCAGAACTTCAAGAAATTTTGAAGCGAGTACTACATGTTTCTTACAAATGCTTGTGATGATTTTGAATCAATCAAAAGTGTACTACTACATGGAAGTATACAGTAGGCTAAGCTTACGGTTGCACCACGTGAGAAAGGGGGAGGATTGGGGAGTCCTGAAAAGGACTGTCTGTAATCTTAATACTTAAACACATGAACGGGAAATAGAGAAGTTCAAGTCAGTACCGGTAGTCATTGGGTTACAGACAACAAAATATTCGCTTGCTAGCTTCAAGTACCAGAAATCACATGTCACATGCCTGCAAAGATTGACTCAAAAAGTAAAGAATAGCAAAATATCCACAGTTATGAAAAAGTGTTTGATGATTGACTGAATAACCTCAAAGGAAATGCTGCCCTCAACCTCTAAATGTCAGTCATGTAGTGGATTGACATACTCTTCAATTTATTTTCCCAAGATTATATTTTGTTAGCGTCCCCTAGGCTAGGAGAACTCAAAAGAGCCATTGAATGCCAAAACTGACTCCATTGCTTTGTATTTGTCATAAGAGGGCAGTAGACTACATTTACTCTCTGACTACCTGATTTGTTTGTCCTGCTTTTTGGTACACTCAATATAAAGTACATTTGCTTGAGTATTGAACAAAATTAATTGATTTGCATATTATAATGTGATGAGATTGTAGGAAAATATTTTTCATTGTAGACAGAGCTTAAACTGCATGGATATCAGGCAACTTTTTGAGCACTGCATGAAGTTTCTCACAATTTCAAAACTTTAACGAGTGCTGCAATTTTTTTTTTAAAACACAAACACATCAGCCTTGTTTTGCTTGAAACAGGGAAATAACTCCCTGTTTAGTAATTGCAATGTGAAGTTGCGTAGAAACACTACAGTGGTTGGCAGTGTGCACCCCTCCTCCATCTCTTTCCGTAACTTGCCCCCCCCCCCCCCTTCCAAAAAAAAAAAAAAATGAAGAAATTTTTTTTTTATACTTGTAAATAAATGAATAACAAATATTGATAATAATAAGCATAATAATGATAACAATGATAATAAGGAATTAATAAATTAAAATTGCAAATAGGAATTTAAAAGAATTTAAAAAATGAATAAATAGATGAAGAAGAATAATAAATAATAAATAAAAAAAATAAACCAAACAAACAAATATTTAAACAAATAAATGAATAAATAAATGAATAAAATAGATAACTTTTAAAAAAAGATAAATAAATAAATAGAATTCATGCTGATATTGAAGTTCCAGTATTCTTGAGCTCCTTTCTGGGTTTGTTTGCATGTAGATTGAGAGATAGAATGTCCATGCATGGCCTGTTTCTGGCATCTTCAGAAAAAAAATGATTATGACTACAAAATTAAAAACTACAAATTTCTTTCTCCTTCCGATTCCTCCTTACAAAATCCCCCCTCCCTCCCTCTTGTAAAAAAAAAATGCAGTCGAAAAATACATTTTAAATCAGCAAGGAGCACAAGGGATCCATTGTCTTCCTCTCTACATGGTATTCAGTGTCTTCAAATTGGCAATGCTGCACTCTTCACTTGCTTTAATAGTCTCCTAGCTTCAATTGTTCGCACATGGTTACACAGTCCACAGTAACGCTGTAATGTTCATATATGATCATGTGACCGCATGCCTGTATATTATGTCAGTACAGCTGTAAACGCTATTATTGCAGAGTTTTATTAGTTATGAAAACATTCAAAATATATTGTGATTATAGGCTGTTAAGCTTCAGGGCAAGTGCCATTGCAGAAATTAGGACACAAATATATGAACCGTCTCTGGTCTGGTGGCAGAATGGCAAAAGTAATACATTCCTATGTAAACCTTTGTATCCATTAAAAGTTACCACAGTAAATGTAACTAAAAATGTAAGAATAGCAAAATGAAGACATTTCTCATCATTATTTCATGATCTTAACAGAATTGTACTAATTTGAGAAAACTGAAAGAGTGAGCTCTCCATACATCTGTCAACTCAGCTAAGCCAGGCTTAATTTCATCCAATTCTTTTGTACACTTAATTTTTATTTCAATTGTTCAATTAATGAAGAATTTGTTTGTTTGTACAGTCAATATGATTTGATTCTTATGTGACACTGATAATATGCAATGTATGAAATGCACATTATAATTGTTTCTTTTTTTTTGTTCAAAATTATGTATTTTGCTTCATTTATTTTAGATTATTTTGTTATCACTTGTCTATTAATTTTTGATAGAAGCCTATCAGGGAGATTTCTAACAAAAACATGAAAATATAAGGGGGAAAGCAGATGGGGTCTAAGAGAAACTTGCCCTGTTAAAACATATTCTCTCTCTATGAGTTTAATTAGGGTATTTTATAATATTAATGGACACACAAGTCATGATCACTTCGATTTAACCATGATAGTCCAAATCCCTGAGTTTGATTTGCCTCTCTTGTTTTCCTTTGTGATAATTTAGACTGGTCATGTCCATATGTGTGGAAAAAAGGCAATAAGGCATGATTCCAACTGTAAAAAAAGCTTGTCCTTTTTAAAACTTGTTGATTTTCTTTCTTTTTGGTATAAATATAATCACTGAATTGGCATTGGATATGTTATTGCATTCACAGAAAGAAAAGAAATTGTTATTATTTCATTTCATTACTTTATATGCTTGTATTTCTTTTACGTTTCTTTTCATTTATCGCAGAGTAAATCACCAAATGGATACTCCAAGCCAAATCCTAACACACCAGTATAATCTACTCTGTTCCTTCCTACATTTTTTTTTTTTTACTGAGAAGGTATTTGCGTGCAGTCTTGTCAAAGCATCTCATAAGTGTTTTTTTGAAGAAAAAAAGGACTTTGTTCTGGAAAAATGACATGCAGGGTACATACATGTGTAGGCCATTTTCGTAATGTAACCAAGTTTAATGCAAAAATCATTGTAAAGTGCATAGAACATATTTTGTTTATTCACCTGTTTACGAATGATTGCATTGGACAGGTCAGAATGCAGATTGCATATATTACGTGTTGCTAGGTAGGGCAAGTCATAATGTTTGTCTTACCTAGCAACAACTAATGTATACAATATGCTTTCTATTAAAAAAACATTTGTAACTGGTAAATGAAAGGATATGTAATGAGGCACTTGACAAAGAAGTATCCATTATATTTGATTACATTCCAAAAAACAACTTATAATTCCAACCCATTGCTGTGAAGATAAATGGTGTGCAAGTCCTCGTCTTTTGTATGGAAAATTGTGGTTTTTGTACCGTGTTGGCTTTTTCACGTTTTTTGAAGAAAATGGAAAATTGAAGAAGAAGTTACTCTGGAAAATACCAAACCATGAAAAGTGTATACCGCCCTCTTTAGCTTCATAATATGTAGTCAGTGAAAGATGTATACCGCCCTCTTTAGCGTCATGATATGTTGTCAGTGCCAATGAGTAGGAGACTTGAACAACCCGGTTCAATTTGACCACAATACGGCGATTACTGCTTTGTTGAGCGAGTACATTACAATAGAATATGATGTGACCAACTGAAACCAAGTTTGCCAAACTCTGTGAACATATTGCTCTGAATGAAGTTAACATAATCAGTATCAAATTACTAACGGTTTAAGCACGGCTCCTACGTCTTTATTTTCTCTCTTTTACCCCACTCAATATGGCCAAAAAAAATAGTACCATAAGCAGTTTTGTACAATTATGTAAATCCTTTCGTAACTTCTTGTTTCCATAAAAAGTAGGATATTTAAATTGTGCAAAAGTCAATTATTCAGTATTAGCAATCCTTATCTCGAATGTTGGTGGTGTTTTTCACCTTTAATACCTTTTTTTATGAGAGGATTCACTTGATAACAACATAATGGGAAGAGCGTTGAATGTAGTAATGGAATGAAATATTGACATAAATATCTTTGCATGATGATACTGTATAATGTTGCATAAGGTGTTTAGATATTCTTGGAGTTTAGAAAGATATAAGAATAATGACATATTTAACCCCGTAGTCTGCAGACCAATACATTTTATAGGTACATGCTGGTTTACATAATTTGTTTTTAAAAGGGCTTTTTGTATACGATATGATCATGTACATACAGGTGATCTTTTGTATGAGATATCGTTCAGTCAAGAAAGCTAATTGAATATGTAAGATAAATAAAGTGTAAACAGCACAAACATTTGCTTAGCAATACAAAAAAGTATGCTTTCCCCACCACATGACTATATGTTAAAGTCATATGGCCAAATGAAAAATAGGTGCAGAGTTACAGACCTCAAAAATAATTATATAACTGCAATTAAATGCAGTTACTAAAAAGTTATCCATGTTTTTTTTTGTATTTGTACATAGTTATATGAAAACATGGCAAGCTGAAAACAAGCTATTGCTGTTTGTTATGCACAATGAAAAGTTATCTTTACAAGTGTATATATTGCTTTAATAGGTACATGAACATGTATTAATGTATATAAATCTGTTCAAAGCTGATATTGTATGCACATTCTAATTGGTTAATGACATTGTTTTCTTGTTATTTGTACAGTGAATCTATCATTTTCTTCGATAACTACTTTGCTATGGTGTGTTTCTATGATTACTACGGCTACTATTTTGTTTAGCATTCCTATTACCTAGATTTTTAAGAGAACTTTTGTTTATATGTTTATTTATGTTAAAGATAGTACTATTGAAATGCGCAGAGCATAGTTGTGTAAATGTCTTGACATTTTTCACATTAAAAAGTAGTACCGTAAGTCTGATTTTAGAGAATTTTATAATTTCAGATACTTAATCACACCAGTTACTTTGATACCATACATGGAAAACAAATGGATACTTCATGTTTATATATATGAGACTATTATGAGCCATTAAGAAATGAATGGTATCGATTCAAATCGTACAGTTGATTTATAATGGTAGAATAGTATTCCAATCTTAATTGGGGGAAGAAAATCACTGTTGAAGTAGGAAATAGTAAAGTACGGTACCTGTAGGTTGAATAACATGCATTTTTATCGGTATGACCATTTTTAGTCCGTATTGGTTTCTTGGAGCTAGTCAGAACACACTAGATTATCATGTTTTAAAATAATATATGCATGTAATTGACAACTTTAAGAACTTTTTGGTATATACTCTTTGTACATTGGTAGTCACGAGACGTTTTTATACAAATACATTTTGACATATTGAAGTATATAATGTTTATTTAGATCTAAACTATTTAGAAATGCATTGACAAGTTGACAAAATAGAATTTGTGCTTCATGTTTTTTCAATTGTTTTTAAAAGAAGTAATCCTTACTCGGCAGGTTTAGGAATAAGAAATAAAGATGAAACTTTACCTGTTCATTTTTGTTTTAAAACCATGTGACTGTATTTGCCATATATTCTTTAAGAGGCCATTCGTTTTTGTTGTTGGTTCTGTAGATTATGGTTTCTGGAAAATGAGAAAATAAACAAGTCACATTTCTCAGAAAAATATTTAAAACTGCAATTCAAATTGAACTTGGAAAGTGGAAGGTATCTAATGATTTAGTTATCAAACTTGCCAAATTTATACTTTATTTACTTCTGATATGTGTTGTAAATGTTCCTCCTAATCATAAGTATCTAAAGCTAAGGACTAATTAATCTAATGTGTTAATATTGCAAGAGGTCTACATAATTTGAATATGGACGAAGTGTAGTGATGTTCAATAAATTTAAGTGGTATGACAATTATCATCTGAATTCTTTTATGGGGTTTTTAGTTTTCATTTTGCCATCACGCTAATCAGTCCTGTAGTATATTACGTTTCGAATTTGTACTATGTGATATTGCGTTCGTTTATCGAAGTACATCAAACGAATATATTTTTTCTAACATTGTTTCGTTTAAACTTTTGCGTTTCTACATCGTTATTTAGTTTACAAGGTTAATTTAAACGGCTGATTTGTTCATTTAACTTGCAGATACATTCATTACCTAAAAAGGCAGAATTTTGAAAGTTCGATTCAATATTTTTGTCAGGGTTTTGATAAGGATACACAAAAACAGTCTCTCTATTTCAAAACCACTATTATATTTCTTTTCTTTTTGCTAGAAAGAACATTGTATTCTAAGAAAACATTCTATTGTAGTTGCAATACAAGCTAGAGGGTAAAAGCAGGGTAGTCTACTGACATTACTCTACGTTTACATATACTGCCACCTGCTGCTCACAAGGACACGATGTGTCGACAGCCATGTCCAACAATGCATCACCAATGGATGACGCGCTAGAAACAGGCAATCGCTCTATGTACGCCTTCACCGAAAGATGGCGCAATTGGAAATAGATTACTGCAGTGTAGTGGTAGCGATGTCGGTTAAAATACTCTGCCTTTAAAAGAAAATATACAACTTCACCGATGCATGACCATTTGATTAGTAGTGTAACCTTCCTTTCCTAAAATCTTGAAAAACTTGTGTTAGGTTGTATGTGTTAATGAGTTACTGCTCTTGAAGTATTTTGAAGATATTTTTAAAAATATTATTGTTTAACAAAGTTTGTTACTTTAGACTTGTTTTTAAGTTCTAGGATGTTGAAGTTTGTATAGTTACATTGTATGTATGAATGACGGATACGTATACAATTCTACGTGAAATATACTAATTTAAAATCGTTTTTTCATTTTTTTAAAACAAAGATCATGTGACGAATTTGATCTTTAATGCAAACTATCATTCAAGGCTGATTATACTCGTGGAATTGTCGCATGATTGTATTGTTTGTATGTCATTTGACTTTTATATCTATGATTATTAAGATTGGTGCTGTAAATCATGGAAATTAAGCGTGCTTGATTAAACTATTGTATATTGTGCTACTGTTCATGAAAATTCACGAGTTCTTTTGTTTATTCTTCTCACAAATATTGATGATTATCCTGTATCAGCATGAGAATAAGAGGTAACGAATTGTAAATAAAATGTTACTTGCTGTTTAGAAATATATACAGGAGAGGGAGAGAGAGGTAAAGAGAGAGAGAGGGGAGGGTGAAATAAAGAAAGGGGGAGTCAGGAAGAGATATTCTGCAGAGCAATACTAGAGAGAGAGAGAGAGAGAGAGAGAGAGAGAGAGAGGGATAGAGAGAGAGAGAGAGAGAGAGAGAGAGAAAGGTAAAGGGAGAGAGAGAGGAGGGTGAAATAAAGAAAGGAGGGGGGGAAAAGAAAGTCGGAAAGAGATATTCTGCAGAGCAGAGAGTGTGTGAGAGAGAGAGAGTGTGTGTGTGTGTGTGTGTGTTGGATGGGCATATTTAAACGTTAAAAGGTCTGATTAAGAAAATTGCAAAAAATAGAGCAATTAACCATTCAAATGTAAATGACCATGCATGTGCATCTGTATAAGAAATTCTCTGGATGTCAACTGACAAATATGGTCGAGATGTGTGTTTCTTGGGATTCTTTTTTTTTCTTCATTTATCTAATTTTACTTTACAAAATGGAAATGCTCATCAACAGTTGAATGGCCAGATGCCCAATTTTGCTTATTATTTTTTCCAGAGCACATTTATTGTTGAATGGCTAAGCTCAATCCAATTGCATATCAACTTGAAGAAGATTAGTTGATTTTTTATTTTGATAGGCCTATGTGAAAAATAAGTTTGTATCAGATATTTATTTGAAAATCTGAATTATAAAAGGCGTCCACTTTTTTGCTTTTGAGTGTATTATACAGTGCGTCCTAGAAAAAAGGAAACCGAGAATTATCGATGTTTTCTCATAACTTAATCACAATTATAATTAATAAATGACACATATTTGGAAAGCTTCGATCCTCCTCTTTCATTTGGTGCAACTCATATAAGTCATATCTCACGCATGAGTGATTAAAAGCAATTTGAAGAGAGGAAACCAAAAAGTCATTTGGCGGGAGGTATCTGAATTTTAAGAGACAATCACATTTCTAGAAAGTTCAATTTCTGCCCTTTCATATGACACCTCAATCAGGAAAAATGAGCCAAGAATAACAAAGTTCCGTTTGTTTAAAGTAATGCTTGCATTTCCATAATTTGATCGAACGAGTTCGTTTTCACTGGCTGCCTGCCGTATCAACGAACAGAGTTGACAAAAGACTTAATCGTTTCGTTGACGATCAGCCATGCACAAAGAAGACGAAAGACCTGATGCATGGCTGAAACGTAGTTAAGTCTTTTGAGTGAGGGTATATACCGATGTCTAAAAAAATGTATATTTTCGCTTTGAGATTTCGCTTTGTAGGTGCCTTTTTTTCTTCAGAAAGTGCCCTTTTTTCCTGGTGGTGCCCCCCCCCCCTCCCCCCCCCCCCCCACTTTGGAAGTCGCTTGGCGGCCCGCCCCTGCAACAAGTGTCATTTAGTTTTGCACCGCTTTTCCTTCAACGCTATGATTTTGTTCGAACGTGTGTTTTGAGAAACTGAACTGGCGCCACCACGATCAACTCAAGAAAAGAAAAAAAAAAAAATATTTCCAGATATCATCAAAACAAAACCGGAGTTACCATAACGAAAATAATCTTCAAGGAGGTTAAAAGTCAGGTACGTGTTTATTGTTTTCTTAATCAATAAATCGTAATTCCATGACCCTTGTTATAAAGTGAGTGTACGTGTTGAATGAGTGTTTGAGGACGGGATTCGACCATATTCGACGCTCTGAGTCGAGTTTCAACAGAAAGCGGCGCGTCAACGTAAAGTTTGGTATAAAAAATAATGTTGCTGTGATCGGTTTTGTGATAATTGGTAGCCTGATAATCATATCACGATGGTATGTACAAAAGCATCTAGAACTACATAACGCAATACAGTCTGTACTTTATACATGCTTTATTATAATATTAAAGGTTTCGTGGACGTAAGTTTATGGCTTCAGCGCTTTGCTGTGATCATACATGGCTAATTTTCCTTTGATATGGCTTGGGATACGGATAGTTCAAATGTGAATATGTTAAAATAGCTGTAAAACTCAGCACTGAAGGTATCTTAAGGTGGAAAGGGTGGATTGGGGCGATTGTGAACGAATCAAAACGGATAAGAACGAATCGGAACGATCCGAAGCAATTTTATAAACGAACATGGTAGGACGTTTGATTTTTGTTTAGTTTACTAAAAGCCGCTACGGTTAGGCTGGAGCTTTATAAACACACGAGTAGAGGTGTCTTAAATCTGCATTTGCAACTCTCAAACCAGGTGTAGTGAATGACTTCGTGGGAGAAAATTATTCCTGAATGTTTTAAGCGCCTAAGACCTCAAGGCTTTAAATAAAGCCAAGGTAGTAATACTACTTTGTAGGCGCCTGAATACGCCCTGCGATGGATGGATTCTTCTTCTGTCAGTCGGGTGACGCTAGCTGCGCTGCTGTGGCCCGTATTTGGACACCTACTCCCTGGACATCCACCCCAGGATAACCATCCCCAGTCAACAACCCTCTAGGACAACTACCCCCCCCCCCCAGGGCAGCCACCCTCTAGGACGACTACTCCCCAGTAAACTAACCGAACAGCTACCCCCATACAACTACCCCCTATGACAACTACCCCCTAAGAAAACTACCCCCTAGCGTAGTTGTACTGGGGTAGTTGTCCTAGAGGATGGTTTTCTTAGGGGGTAGTTGTCTGGGGGGGGGGGGGGTTGTTGTCCGGTTGGTAGTTGTCCGGGGGATAGTTGTCCTAGGGGGTAGTTGTCCTAGGGGTTAGTTTTCTGGGGGTAGTTGTCCCAGGGGTAGTCATCCTAGAGGGTAGTTGACTGGGGTGGTAATATCCTGGCGGTGGATGTCCAGGGGTAAGGTGTCCTTGAACCGCTGTGGCCATCACAAGTTCATGCCATCCTTTTTTGTGTACTGTACTGCTGCTCTTGTAGCTTCTGATAGCTTTTCCCCTAGGATGGATACGTGTGCAATATAATGTAGCTATTATTATTAAGTGAATCAACATGTGATGTGCTTTCTTTTTAACAGTCGTCGTTCTTGATAAGTCTCGTGGCATGTCTTCTGATATTACGTAACGTATCGGGTGACGTTTGTATTGCCCCTACCGATAGCAACAGTGAATGCCAATGTGACAGTGCCCCACCGCAGCTGCCATCGGCGCCTCGATTTTATCGTAAGTGACCCCCTTACAACTCTACGTGGTATATTAAGAGGACATCCTAACCCTAACCCTAACCCTAAACCTAACCCTAATGTCTACTTAATGAATCATTTTTTTCACTCCAAATGTCCCTCTGATGACGCCTTTAGTAAAATTACATATATAGGGAGAGATATATTTTAAAAACCGTTTAGAGGACGTTTTTACGTTTTATTTCTCATAGAAGGCCCAATTTTTGTTATATATATATATATCTCTCTCTATATTACTAAAGGCGTCATGGGAAGGACATTTGGAGTGAAAAAATGAGTCATTAAGTAGACATTAGGGTGAGGGTTAGGGTTAATGTCCACTTAATGTACCATGTAGGGTTATATAGATATATATATATATATATATATATATATATATATATATATATATATATATATATTTATTTACATGTTTATGAATTTTGAATTCACTATCTGAAGAAACAAAATCGAAACCGGTCATAGTGAAGAAGTGAACTCTCAGGGATTTTTATTTCAATTGTTTTAATTATCATTTATATGTACAGTGTATTATTATTTCTTTTATAAGGTTACTAAAAACTCACATCTTCATTCAGACATTTAAATGCTTATTTTATTGGAGGAGCTCGCGCCTTTGAATGTTATCTGAAACAGATATATGGCGCCATACAAATGCTGTTCATCATCATCATCATCATCATAATTTAGTAGTATTATCATCATCATCACCATCATCGTTTTCGATATTATCATTTTTATTATTAATATTATTATGACTACTATTCTTCTTATTATTATTTTTCTTATTATTATAATTAGTAGTAGTAGCAGTAATGTTATTATTATTATTATTATTATCATTATCATCATTATTATTATTATTATTATTAGTATCAGTAATATTATCATTATTATTAAATCATAAATCAGTGTAGTGCTATCATTTATATATTATTTTAATTTTTCTCTTCAGCTTCAATTCCTAATTGTGGAAACTCTAACTGTGATTCTTGGACGCAGGAATGTGATAACTCCACGATGACTTGTGGATGTCGATTTGACCCGAACAATTCTGATGAGGAAAACTGTCGAGGTATCTTGGTATAAATCTATGTATAGTGAAGATAGAGAAAACAGGAAACATATTCAGCATGTTGCGTTACCCCGCGTGGGGCATCGAGCAGAGCCATCTATACACAGAGTTTGGCCAACTTAGAGGAGCATATTTTGTCTACATCAATAACCCACTACTTAATATAATGGCCAAATTTAAACTGATTGAATCTTTGCGCTGCATAAAACATACGACCATTCGGTACAAGGATCTGAAAATCGGACTATAACCTAGGTTATTGCAATAACTCATGTCGATGCGACAGCTAATGGGCGTTATTTTCCCACAAAAAGCAATTTTCAAACCCTTTTGTTTTAAGGGAGTTCTAAATAAGTTTTGTATTTCAAATGCCGTTGGAATTTAGCCTTTTCATTTCTTGGACCTGCAAATGGGACATAGTACCTTCAAGAGCCATGGTATTCAGAAATTCATTTTCCGGTATATACAATACAATACAATACAATGAACATTTAGGGCGCCATTCCCATAAGGCTCAGAGCGGGGTTCTTGGGGTTCTTACAATATATAAATCCATATCGTCTTGTTGGACCTTATATTAAGGGAATTCCCGGCAAATTTCATAGTAGCGATTGTTCTTGTTTACTTAACATGAGAAGCTCGGCCAAGTATTCTGATAAGTTATCAGTATTTATATAAAAATCAGACCCAGGTCTGGAGTATATTGTCGGTGGGGGGGGGGGGGGGGGGGGTTCTTGGGGTTCTTGCACTGTGCCTCGCTTAAATTCGTTTATGATCGAGAAAAAAGTAGGAGGCTCGGCTCAATTTTTTTTAGGGGGAGGGGGGCAGCCTCCATGCACCTCCCTAGATTCGCAGCAGCTAAGAATACACCACTGCCACTTTTTTTTTCTACAATTTATTCGCACCTGATAAGGCATTTTGTTTACTTTATGATAAATTAAATTATGATATTGATAGTGAAATGATTATGATATGGAGGTCGTAACCGGTTGAAAACAAAAGCTGAGGTTATGAGATAAGGAACCACCATTCCAAAGGTTGTCTTTCATATATCAATATAAGATAAACAAATCACAATATGCGCTCCCAAAGATAACTATTAAAAAACGCTTCTTAATTTTTAGCAATAGTTCTCATTTAGGTTTTCGCAAGGTTTTTTTTCACACGGGAACGGATAAACAAGTTACATTAAAAGGAGAAGGAAAAAAATCCATAATAGGTTGGAAAGGCTGATGTTTATTTGTTTCAACACGCTGCCGTTTTACAGATTCTTATGTAAAAGTATTTTTATTAACATGTTTATAGAGTGATATGACCACGCAGTAATAATGACATCAAACAGTAGTTTGAAAATTCGTTTTCCATCAGCCAGGATATACCTGTATGCATGGTTGACGTAGTAAATGGGCTTTATAGTGTGTGTGGTGGGGGGGGGGGCACTAAAATCGTAATAGAACGAAAGGAAGACCAAACCACACCCGTCTTCAATAATATTCTCACCATCGGATCGTATTAAAAGTAAGAGAAGAATATAACCCATTATACAACACCTACGTGGATCCTTGTCATTTGATTGGAGGATTGTTGGTCACATGATATTCAATAGATGTTATATTGCACGGTCGTGCATTTTTGGTTATATGCGCCGTGCATTTTTGGTTATATGCAGACTGCGTACCTCTCAGCCTTGCGCGCGCGTATCCCTGCGTGTATCTGACGCGAAGGCAATCTGAATGTAACCGAGAAGGCTTGACTCTAACTTCAATTTATCTTTAATATAGGAGTAAAGCATAATTTGTTGATTAACGTTCTATTAGATCTTCTTCGATGTTGTATAATACAAATAATGAATGTTTTTCATTCGTTCAATATTCGCACTATTGAACTCATAACCATTTATTATGTGTATACTGTTTACCGAACTCTTTCATTCCCTTAGGCTTAATACATAAACCATCGGGCTTCCATAGGCAATGAGAAACAAATTGAATTTTTGACTCGTTTTCTTTTAAATTTCTAGATCCCTGCTTTGATAGATGCAATAGGTCTACAGATCTTTGTGTAAAAACACATCAAGGGTTTTTATGCCAGGCCAACGCGAATATAGGTGAGAAATGCCTTTGTGTATATTTGATTGACTATTAAATATGTAGTTTCACTAGTGACGTAAACAGACCTTGCTATGGTGGTCCATATAGTCTACCAAATTCTTCACAAACCTATGTAACGACATCACTATATTGCGAAATGTGTGTTACGACGCCCTATGTTACGACGCCCTTACGTTAGGTTTCCCTTTTGTAAGGCCGCCCCTATGTTAAGACGTGCAAATGTTACGATGCCCCTACGTTACGACGCCATTATGTCACGACGCCCTTATATTACGTCACCCTATGTTACGATATCCCTATATTACGACTCCCTTATGTTACGACACCACTATGTTGCGACGCCCCGTTGTTACAACGCTCTTTCGACACCCCCATGTTACCCCTGTGTTCGTTAACGTCAATATACATTACATCTTTATCATTACTATATTTAATTCATTCAAGGTCTCTTCACTTTATACTCTCTGATGGAATATTAATTTGCCAATTTAGGTTAATTCAGGAACATCACCTTGTTTAACCAATATCGAAACTTAGCTTTAATATCTTATCTTTTATCGTATTTTATCTGTATAAAAATCTATATGTTATCCCACCTACGTATCACTGTTGCATTAAACCTGTAAATTGTTGATTATCAATTTTCCATCTCATGTAAAACGAATGACAATTTTATATCATCAATGAAACTGTAAATCGTATTGAAATATACACAATATTTGTTAATTGTTCTATATATATTAATGTGTTATCAATGCAATGTTATGCCATATACTTTTTACTCTGTAAATTGAACAATTTCAGCTTTTAGCTGCATGTCCGATGATTTTTATCTCAATAAACCAATACAATACAAACAAATATATATATATATTCCGACTTCTATTTAAATAGTGATGACACTGCTATACTGCTAATATGTCACGCCCCTGTTGATGACACAATATGTTACACATCCTTATCTTACGACGCCATTATGTTACGACGCCCCTATGTGGCAATGCCTTTTATTTAACGCTAATGCGTGCCAACATCTCAAAATCTCGGCACCGTTATGATTCCAACGCCCTATGGTATGACACTCCTACGTTTTTGACGTCCCAAATATTTTATTCGTGTTACAGTTATCTACTCAAACATTTACTCTTTCACCGTTTCATTTTCGTTGTTATTCGTGGCATATACCAATAGACGGCAGTCGCTCTTTCTACAACAACATCGCCAAAAGGGATATATTCATCATCACTGGGAAATAAGGTAATTAAAACATCGACTTGTATTTGTATACATAACATTTATTATACAGAATTGTGAGTGTGCAAAATGTAAAAGGTCGTTGAAGTAATACAAGTATATATACATAGGCATCAAATAAATAACTGGGTTAAAGTAGCCCTACAAAAAGAGGTCATATAACTACCGCTAAAGCATTCAATGTTTTCATTTTCCATCTCTTTCCAGGAAAAAAATCTGATATTTGATAATGTCCTGACTGGAGTAAGTGTTGATGTTGTGATAGCATCAGCGATGCTCTTCTTCCTCGTTACTCGTAACTACCGGGACAGATCTCAAAACGTCGGGGTATCTTTTCACGAAACCGTCTTAAGTACTAGTAGCCAAAAGCCCATTTAAAAACTTAGTTTTAGTAGCTTGCAACACACTAGGGGGAGATTGTTCAGAATATATCGTGAAAATATATATATTTATAGTTTGCAACAAACTATTCATACCTTCACCAAGTTTTGTAATATCTTAAGTATATCAAAAATTGATTTGTCCCGATTTATGTATATTAAGAATGTCACGTGTACATACATGTATTAAATCTAACACCTAAAGGTATTCAACAAAGGCCGTAATTCAAACAAGTTTACCTTTCATTCCTGAGTTACAGAAAAACAAAACAAAATAACATTTACAAGGGGTATGAATAATTTATTTGTTAACTATAGATCAAAAGTTTCATGAAATGGTGATGCAATAGACCAATATTAATTGACAGAAGTCAACGTGAAAATGCATTCCATTGCTATTCTTGTACATAAGTTAGCCCTTATATATCACTTTATTCACTCGGTAGTTGCCATTTCATTCCTTTCATAATCATTGTTCACAATCGACATGTACAGCAATATGGCGATAGAATAAGTAGATGCAATTTCAACCTCAACTCGATCACACATACATCCCCGACATTTGACATTCTTATTTGTTTGTGTTATATACACAATTTAATGAATTATAGTTTGCATGTTCATTTGAAAACTAAATGGTGGAAGAAATCATATTTATCAAATTCTTATTTTAAATCTTTGCGATTTGCAAAGACTTGAATTGTCAGGGACTCGAGGCCACGCACTCAAGGCAAATGATTAAAGAATTCTAGCTAAATCATGTATATTCATGAATTCAATATACAATATTTATATATATATATATATATATATATATATATATATATACACACACACAAATTATCATTATTAATTTCGAATAACGAAAAATATTCAATTCAATTAATTAATATTCAATTTGATATTTATTATTTTTTCATAACTTTTGTCATAAGCACTTTTATTTTTTCTCACTCTTTCTAGGTATTTATTGCCAATAACATATATACATACAATAACAAACGAATCTAAGTTTTACAGCGACCATTGATAGAATATTTTGAACTTTTTCTTTCTTTTTTTTCTCAGCAATACTATCGCTATGACTCTGGTCCATTACTTTACCCAAAGAGAAATATTCTTTTTCTAACTGTACACAATTTCCCCTTTTCTCTGTACCTCTACATCATATTTAATTGTGTAAATTTGTATTCTTGTTTTGCACATTTCTCAATTTCCTTCATTATAAAGTTCTTTATATTCTGTTCTGACCTTGTTTTTAACACCTTATATTTCTTCTATA